TTTTTGGATCCACTACGAGGGCGGCATGTCGAGTTTTTGGCATCTGTTGTCTTTTCGCTTGTGTGTAGTGTTCTTTGGGCTGCCGTCCTGCGCATTCCGTGCGGGCGGTCTCGTGTGTGCGTGCACCGTTGCCTTCGGCGCGACGGCAATAGACATGTTCTTTTTCTTTTTCTTCTTTGTGCGTGTGTCTCTCCCTTTTTGCATCCGCCGGGCTTTTTTGTTTTTGTTTTGTTTTGTTTTGTTTTGTTTTGCGGATTCCCGGGAATATTCTGTCGCGGTGCCCGTGTCCCTCACTTCCCCCGCGCCCCTAAGAAAAAAAAAAACTCCCCTTGTTTCTCCTTTATTCTCCATATGTGTGCGTGTACTTACGCCTCTTGCCTCTCGCCGCGCGCCGCCTGGGCAGCCAGCTCCAGCCCAACCCACAACTGCCATGCCCAACACCGCCGCCGCCGCCGCCGCCGCGAAGGTGGACCCGGACCTCCCGGTGAGCCCCGAGGGCGTCACGTACCACCTGAAGTGCAAATCCGACGAGCTCGCCGACCGCATCCTGCTCGTCGGTGACCCGGGGCGCGTGAAGGACGTGGCGGAGTACTTTGACGCGGGCAGCGTGCGCTTCAAGAGCGAGAACCGCGAAATCTACATCGCCACCGGCACCTACAAGGGCACGCCCGTCTCCGTCGTGAGCACCGGGATGGGGACCGACAACGTGGAGATCGTCATCAACGAGATTCACGTGCTGAAGGAGTACGACTTTGCGCGCCGCGTGTGGCGCCCGCGCACGGGGGAAGCGGACGTGCCGCAAGGCGCACAGCTGTTTGACCCCTCCAGCGTGAAGCTCATTCGCGTTGGGACCTGCGGCTCGCCCTTTCCTGACATGCCGCTCGGCGCCCTCGCCGTCACGCGCTACGTGATCGGCATGGACAACACCTGCCTCCTGTACAAGGCCAATGAGCAGGTGCAGAGGTCGAAGGACCTGCTTGAGGTGCAGCGTGTGGTGAAGGCGCAGACCGGCCTGGGCGCCATTGACGTGTACACCACGAAGGCGACTCCCGCCATCACAAACGGCATCGTGGCGGCCTGCAACAATTTCAACCAACAGCTCTCGGCGGGCGCCAAGGAGCAGCAGGCGTACGTCGTCGGCACCACGGCAACCGCCAGTGGGTTCTACGGCTGCCAGGGACGCGCCGTTGGCCGCTTCCGCAAGCACCTCCTGGTGCCCAACCTGGTGGAGGAGCTCTCGAAGCTCCAGTTTGACGTCGCTGAGGGGAAGGAAATCGTGGTAAACCTTGAGATGGAGTCAAGCTCGCTCTGCTGTCTCTCCAACATTCTTGGGTACCAGGCGGGGGCGGTGTGCGCCGTCGTGGCCAAGCGCGCCGGTGCCGAACATCTTTTTGCGACACACGAACAGGGAAAGGCGGCGCTTGCCAACGCCATCCGCATCGCACTGGACGCCATTGTCGCACTTCAGTAATGACGGTGGAGGAGGTTGGAAAACTCTGACGCCAGTTCGACTCAAAAGGAGAGTGAGCAGAGGAAATTATTGTTATTGATAAGGATATTTTTTAAAAAACGCGATTTTTATGTTTGTTTTTGTTTTTCATGTTTTTATACGGAACTAAGGCGATTCAATGGAAAGTAGCATAAGGGAGAGGGGGAGGTCCCGCTGGTACAAAAGCAACAACTTTATTTCGTTGTTTCCACAGTGCGGCGTTTTCTTTATCGACGACGCCGCCTGGAAGCAGTGGGGGAGGAAGGGGAGGGAACGCCTCGTGGGAAAAGGGCAAATGCGGGGGATCAATCTGAGGTGTGAGTTCCATTTGGTTTTAGTGCGTGCGTGCGTTTCTGTGTGGGGGGTGAAGGGGAGAGGCTCAGTCGGCGTCGGTGCTTGTATTTCTTTCTTTTTTTTTTGGATCCACTACGAGGGCGGCATGTCGAGTTTTTGGCATCTGTTGTCTTTTCGCTTGTGTGTAGTGTTCTTTGGGCTGCCGTCCTGCGCATTCCGTGCGGGCGGTCTCGTGTGTGCGTGCACCGTTGCCTTCGGCGCGACGGCAATAGACATGTTCTTTTTCTTTTTCTTCTTTGTGCGTGTGTCTCTCCCTTTTTGCATCCGCCGGGCTTTTTTTTGTTTTTGTTTTTGTTTTGTTTTGTTTTGTTTTGCGGATTCCCGGGAATATTCTGTCGCGGTGCCCGTGTCCCTCACTTCCCCCGCGCCCCTAAGAAAAAAAAAAAACTCCCCTTGTTTCTCCTTTATTCTCCATACATGTGCGTGTACTTACGCCTCTTGCCTCT